TACGTACCAAATGCAATATAACTTGTTTTGTAACATACTGACATTTGTAGCAAACGAGATTTTAATTATATGAAGTCTTACCTTCTAGTGTTACAAGTTTAAGTAAAGGCGTCTCATAAAATCTGTTTGAGAAATTTTCCTATACATCTCTCTGGAAACTAACTCAAACTAACTCAATATGATGGAGAACCACAAAATCTAAGGTCAAAAATTCTCTAATATTCTATTATTTGTAGACTAATTAAACCTATTTTATATGTTAGTTAAAGTTAAATTGTGTTTTTTGCGGATGAGATTACCAAAGAAAGTCCAAGTATCAACTACTAAATAATGAGGCCTAACATTACATGTAAATTATAAAGTTCTGTTAACTTGGTTTTAAACTAGGATCTATGCTTATTGTTAACTTGGTGATGCACATGGTGTAGGACCAATAAAATGTGCCTAATGTAGTTATAACATTCTTTATAACTAGCTATTGATTATAATGTTTTTTTCATCCACCGGATGTGTTAGATAATCAACTCTAGTACATTTGAAATAAAGAGATAACGTTGCATCCGATGAACCAATTTATACGATGCCCACAACATCATACATTGCTCTTGTTCCTCCTATTTTGTACCACCTACTATGACTAGGATGTTATTTGGGTCGGAACCGGACCGAACCCACCCAAATCCGAATAATCCGAAAGCCAAATAAGGCTAATTGGAGGAACCGAAACCCGGATCGAGTGACCTAATATGAGTTTAGTTTGGTTCATGTATTAATCGGTCCGGGTCGGTTATTACTCGAATAACCCTAATAACATTTACAATATGATTAACGATCTAATATATTCCATAACTTGAATAACATTTACAATATGATTATAAATACTGTATTTTTTTATTACTTTTGTAGCTTATGATTTCATAATAAAACTTTCAAAGAAACAAATTTGTTGATTAAAAATAATGAAAATATACATGTTTTAAAGATGCAAAAAATGTCAGAATTTGTGTAATAAACATACACAACAAGGACAAACATATAATTGTAGACTTACATATAAACACGAATTATATATTTGGTATGTTTTTGTTTCCAAATTAATGGACAAAATATTCGATATACACTAAAATAGATTTCATTTTTTCTTTAAATTTATTGTTAACACGAATTAACTATTCTTGAGATATAAGAATGTAAAATCAAAACACCAAAATTAGGTAAATCGGACAAATAACGAATACGATATGACATTTCAAAGTTGCATAAATTTCTGTAAACACGTTGAAACAGAAAACTCAACTTCAATATCCATGTTTAGGGCATGTGTCTCATTAATATAGCCAAAAAAAGCATATAAACTATGTAAACAGTAGTTTAAATTGTGAGATACAAGATGGAAAAAAAACCTTGGCAAATCGGGCAAATAACGAAGATGTCATTACAGTTCAAAGTTGCCTAAAAATTTATGCAACCATGCTAAGATTCTGGGCCGAGTATTTAGAACCGAATAAGCTCTTATTTGGGTAACCTAGACCGAAAAACTCGATAACCAAATAAGCCTAATATAGATACCCGAAACCCAAACTGAATTACTTATTTAGGCCTAATTCGGTACAATTCAGTTCGTGTTTTCGGTCCAAACGCTCACCTCTAACTGTGATTAAATCTTCCACCACATTAGTCCAAACTAGTTTTCTTATTCATCTTATTTGACTTTTTTTGCTTCATTTATTGCTAATATATATAATGCCAGAAACGAATCCTGTAGAGAGGTTGTTTATGATCTCCTTTAGTAGAGTATTATGGTTGAGAAACTTACAACTCTTCACTGGACTCATAGGAAGGGTTAGTTTCACTCACACAGAATTTGACGACAAAAGTGATGAATGTTGTACTCTAATAACATAGTTGCATCCATTCGTTAATTAGTGAAGATATTGCAAATGGATGTTAAGAGTGTGTTCTTGAATGATGATTTTCATGAGGAGGTTTATATGACTCCTCCCCTAAGTGTTGCCCACCAACCGGGTGAAGTTTGTTGGCTTCGAAAATTCCGGTATATATGGTCTCAAAAAAGCTCTTTGTACTTAGTTTAAGAAATTCTTTATGGTGATTATTTGTGTGTAATTATTCCATTAAAAGTAGTTAACATTTAAAGGTGTAAAATTTCAAAAAACTAAAAGATACTAAAATTTACTTGAAATAACTTTTGGAGTAGAAACTTAAACTCGTACTATTAAATGAAAATTTTTTTTCTCTTAACTCAAGTATTTTAAAAGAAAAACAAAAAAAATTTATTAAAATCTTGCTATTGAACATACCCATTATATTTACATGTAAATATCTCTTTATATGAAATTATAATGAGTGATAATGTTCTCGACCTTTTTGTTACAATGTTAATTTTGTTATTAAAAGTTCAAAATATTTTTTCTCATAATTTTAAACCCTCTGATTTAATATGATTTTTTTTAAAAACACATTTTTTTGTTGTTAAATTAAATTATTACCATAAGTTTTTTTCAAATATTAGACCAACTAATAATCATCCCAATAAATACAATTATTTTGAAACATTTTTAACAAATCCTAGTTTTCACAAAAGAGATGCCCAAAACTAAGGTATTATAAATGTGGTGTAAAGAAATATCATATCTTCATGGAGTTTTTAACCAAAATGGGGTTATTGAAAAAACTATTTACCAATCTAGTATAGTTCTAAAAATATTTACGAAAATAGTCTTTTTTTCATTTTACTTTTATTATTCAGTTTTTCTTATTATCTTTTTACTTTAAATATATTCTTTTACTATCTTTGTTATTTTATTTTTAATATCACCCTATCTCTTGATTAAAAAATTAGTTTTTTTTTTTTTTTTTTTTTTTTTTTTTTTTTTTTTTTTTGTTTTTGTTTTTGTTTTGTTTTGTAAATGAGTATAAGGAATATACAAAAATGAATATTTATATATATGACTACATGACTTATAAAAAATATATCTTAGTTAATATCATAAGGATATATTAGATGTGAAATCAACCTAATATATAACACCACTAATATTTTTGTGCTATTATTTCTGTAACGCAATTATATACTTTAGTAACAAAGGTTTTTTTTATTGCTGTATCATCTTATATTTTGATTACTTTTTTTTTTCTATTGCTTTGATCAAAGTTTTTTATTTAAACAAAAAGAGAACTACATAAGTATATATAAAACTTTAAAATGGAAATACTTAGTCATAAAACCATTTGAAAGACCATTAGGTTTATTATAGAAAATAATCGTAAAAATTCCGTATAACTAATCTAATGCACACTTGTAATTTTGGTTCATTAGATGCCTATTTATTCAGTTTTTTTAGCGTTTCTGTAGTAATTAAGATGTTTTTTGGATTTTTTTTACATTAGAAAAAACATTATATAATATTGAAGTTTTAATTTAAGATAGCTAAAATTTGTTGTTCAAAATGGTTTGTATAATTTGTAAAAATAATGTCAAAGCATTTATGTTAAACATAATTAAAAAAAAAAACTAAAATTTTGAAATAAGAAACTAAAAAACTGATTTAAAAATAAAATAAAATAACTAATATTTGAAAAATAAAATAAAAAACTGGAAAAAAATATTTAAAGTAAAAAGATAATAAGAAAAACTAAAAAATACAAGAAAAAAACTATTTTAGTAAATATATTTTTAATAAGACATGTAGTCATATATATATATATATATATATATATATATTCATTTTTGTATATTCCTTATGCTTATCTACACTTATTTAAAAAAAAAACTGGTTTACAAAACAAGAAAAAAGCTATATTAAAAATAAAATTAAAAAGATAGTATAAAAAAAGATATTTAAAGTAAAGAAATAATAAGAAAAATAAATAATATAAGTAAAATAAAGAAAAAACCCTATTTTAGTAAATATTTTTAGAACTATATAGTTTTTTCAATATCTAAAAACTCCATCTTAATGGTCTGTGGGGTAGGTCCAACATTGTATCGTGCTTCAATAGCAATATGTGGGACCGTTGACTGTTGACTGTACTATTTGAGCTATACTCTGTAGTACGTTAGGCAATGCTTTTAGTACCTAGATTATGACTGTTGACTGCATTACTTCCATTCATCCAAATCCGTAGTATTTGCAGCGCAACAGCAATAATTGAGGCTTGTTCATACTTCATATATTGGCCTTCTTCTTCACAATTCAAACCAGTTGTACACACCAGCAAAAACAGCAAACATTAGCACAGGCGCATATAGTAGAAGAGGTATGTTTTTGTTGAAAGTTTTTCTCTTTGTTTATGAATAACTTTTCTTAGTTGTTTTTTGTTTTAAATCTATCGATCCTTGACGAAATTATCTGAAAAAAAATGTTTGCTTTGTTACTTGTTGTGGATTGTTCGTGTATGCTCCACATATAAAATCAAGTATATATTTAAATGAATGACAGTGCCTCCTCATTTTCCCTCTTTTGATTATTGAACTATGTTTTGGAGGAATGGTTTTCTTAGGACAGATGCTTCCACGTAGAGATCAGTTCTAGCCCTAATAAACCCCCTAATTGTATCACTGTAGGACTCTGTTTACAACTAATAAACCCCTAATTAAAAGGCACGGTATTTTGTTCCTCATCTCTCACAATTTTACACGATGATGAAGATGTTGAAATTAACAATCTATTCCCACTTTCAATCATTTCAAAGAAAACCAAGGTTAAGTTGACAAGGGAAGACAAACAGCAAAATTAACTATGAATTTACATACACATTAATTTACCAACTATCAATTCTATATTTCTATTCTAGCCAAACTGGTTATGTGTCTTAAATCCCGAAGGAAACTTTTATAACACTAATTATCTATGGATTGTATATTATATTTGAATAAAGATAGCTAAGCAAGTTAATAATTAACAACTTTTAACAATTTCATTGCCTTTATTGTCTATTACATGGTTTGCAGGTCTTTGTAAAAGCTAGAATACTGAAAGATGGAGTTTATATCTGCAATCATAAGTCCTTTTGTTCAGTCATTAATGGATCCTGTTAAAAAACAGCTCGGATATATCTTTTCCTCCACAAAACTTGTTAGGAACATGAATGCCAAAATGAAGCAACTGGATGGTACAATCCTTGATGTCAAAAAGCACATGGAAAGAAACAATATAAGTAATCTGGAGATACCTGCTCGTATACCTAGTTGGTTGGAAGAAGTTGAAAAGACTAAAGAAAAAGCTCAAAGCATTCCAAGTACTGGGAATGGATGTTTTAACATGAAAATGAGGTATCGAGCTGGAAGGAAGGCATTCAAGATTATGGAGGAGATGGAAAGTTTTATTGATGAAAATAGTAAGATAACTTGGAGTGATGCTCAAAGACCTCTTGGGAAAGTGAACTCGAAAATCGCATCTAGTTCTTCACCTCCGGATGCTGGTGCCCAAAATCACTTCAGATCGAGAGAGAAAAGTTTTAAGGAGATACTCGATTTCCTTCAACAAGATCACAAGAGCAAAGTGATAGCCCTATGTGGAATGGGAGGTGTGGGAAAAACCACTATGATGGAACAAGTGAAAAAGACTGCAGAAGATAAGAAGATGTTTGATTATGTTGTGAAGGTGGTTATTGGGCAACAAATTAACATGTTTTCTATTCAGCAAGCTGTAGCAGATTACATGGGCTCATCTCTAACTGAAATGAGTAAAGAAGCAAGAGCAGATCGTCTTCGTATAACATTTGAGAAACTTCTAGAAGGTAAAAGAAAGGTTTTGCTGATATTAGATGATGTATGGGAGACAATTGAACTCAAAGATATTGGATTGAGTCCTTTGCCTAACGGCTTCAAGCTGTTGCTGACATCACGATATGAAAATATTTGCAAACAAATTGCTGTAGAAGCTGATTCAGATTTGAAAATAGTTAGAGTGGAAGTGATGGAGGAGCCTGAAGCACAAAATTTCTTTTGGGAAATTACAGGTGCTTTAAAACATGATAAGGAGCTGAATAAAATAGGAACAAAGATCGTGAGAAGATGTGGGTTTTTGCCCCTTGCCATTAATCTCATTGCCATTCGTCTTAAGTTTGAAGAAAAGGTTGCGTGGAGAGATACACTTCGCCGTTTGGAGAATAAAAATCTTGATTATGTGCAAGAAAGTATTAAGATAAGCTACGAATATATACAAGAAGAGGAGGAAAAAGCAATTTTTCTTCTGTGTGGCTTGTTTCCTGATGACTTTAATATTCCAATCGAGGAACTCACAAGATATGCATGGGGCCTACGGTTGTTGAATGGAGTTTCTACTTTGGGAGAGGCTAGGGACGGGACAGAGACGCATGTGCACAGTCTCAAAAAAGCAAATTTGTTGATGGATGGCGATGATGATGATGATGGGTGTGTCAAAATGCATGATCTTGTGCTCGATTTTGTTTTAGGAAGAGTTTCTAAGGGTGACCATCCATGGATAATCAACCATGGTGATAATTCAAAGTGGAGTAGTGCCGGAATGAGTGAGTCTTGTAACAGAATTTCTATTACTTGCAGGGGTATGTTTGAGTTTCCTAGAGACTTTAAATACCCAAACCTTGCACTTTTGAGACTTATGCATGGAGATAAGTCGCTTACGTTTCCTGAAGATTTTTATCAAAGAATGGAAAATCTTGAAGTTATAGCGTATGAAAATATGCAGTATCCGTTGCTCCTCAGATCACTTCAGTGCTCCACTAGGCTTCGGACACTCATTTTCCATAAATGCTTATTGATGTTTGATTGCTCTGTTATTGGTGAACTTTTGAATTTGGAAGTGCTCAGTTTTGCACATTGCGGGATCAGAAAGTTGCAATCCACAATCGGAAATTTGAAGAAGCTAAAGCTACTGGATTTGACAGGGTGTGTAAATCTTCATATTGATGATGGTGTCTTGATAAATTTGGTCGAGCTTGAAGAGCTTTATATGAGAGTTGCTGATGAAGAGGCAATTAGGTTCACAGACAGCAATCGTGTTGAATTAGCAGAGCTTTCAAATCATCTTTCTGCATTAGAAGTTGAGTTCTTTGACAACAACGGTATGCCGAAGAATATGCTGTTTACTGAACTTAAAAGGTTCAGGATCTCTATGGGATGTGGTTTAGTAGAGAATACTGACAAAAATATGCACTCATTTGAAAACACATTGAGGTTGGTCACTAACAAAAATGAGCTATTGGAATCTAGCATCAATGAGTTGTTTGAGAAAACTTCGGTGCTTTATTTGGAGGTGGATGGTATGAATGATATTGAAGAAGTTTTAGTGGAATCAGTTCATCTTCCCCAACAGTCATTTAATAATCTAAGAGTCCTTGATGTTATCAAGTGTAAAAACATAAGATACCTCTTCACAGTCCCTATTGCAAATTGTTTAATGAAGCTTGAGCGCCTCACAGTTTCAAAGTGCCCTGTTCTGGAAGTACTTGCACATAGTGAAAATGGTGGAGATGGGGTAATCAAGTTTCAAGGGCTAAAGTTTCTATCATTGAAGATGCTACCAGAGTTGATAGGTCTTTGCAACACTGCTAATGTAATTGAGCTACCACAGCTGGTGGAGTTGGAACTTGATGGCCTTCCTAATTTCAGTAGCATTTATCCTGAGAAAACATCTGCAACATCTTCTATGTCCAGTAATGTCTCTGCAATTCAACCTTTCTTCAACAAAGGGGTACGTTCCTTAACCAAAATATTTTTAATATAATTGCACAATATATTGTCATTAGATGGTGTTATTGATGATCAACATCTCTTACGTATTGTGTAGGTGTTGATTCCTAAGTTGGAGAAATTGAGGATTTCGAGGATAGATAAGCTGAAAGAGATATGGCCTTATCAATTTAGTAGTAGTGACGAAGTTAATGCCTGCATGTTGAGAGAGATTAGAGTGAGGGAATGTGATAATCTTGTGAATCTGTTTCCAACCAATCCCATGTTCTTGTTGGGTCGTCTGGAAGAGCTTCATGTTTCATCCTGTGGAAGCATCAAAGTGTTGTTTAACATCGACATGAGTTGTGTTGGTGAAACTGAAGAATACAGTAGCAGCTTGAGAGAAATTAACGTATCTAATTTGGAGATGCTAAGAGAGTTGTGGAGGATGAAAGGTGAAAGTAGCTCTGATATCCTCATCCGTACCTTTCAAGCTGTTGAAAGTATAGAAATACAAGAGTGCGAGAGGCTTGTAAACGTATTCACACCGACTGTCACCAATTCTGACGTGGGAATACTTATGAATGTGAGTATAGATGGTAGGAGACCTTGTGAAGCAAGAAAGAGAAACATCGAATTGGTTCAGAAAAGCAAGGAGGTATGTGATGTCATTGAGCTTTCAATTTCTATTTTGATGTTACAGCACTTATTTGTATGTGCTTCTATATATACCCTCACACTTATATCTGTATGTGTATCTACATATGTGTGAGTGTGTGTACATATATACATATACATATACACACATCACACTATAATAAATCAATCAATTATATACAAAAACAATTTATTACTCCACATTTGAAAACATGGACAAATTACATAAATACTACATTTTTAAGTGTGGAGAAGTAGGCTAGATTTCCTACAGTGCTAAGTATTGATGTCTTTCAACCTTTATATTATCACTTTTACATATTTATAAGCAAGTTTTTCTTATTTTCTTATTTTTGTTATTTCACTATACTCGAGCATTTGTTTAATATTTTATAACAATTGTAACTTCAAATATTACATATTTACACCGCATCATTAAGAGCGATTGAAAATTAATATTTTTATATATTCCCATTAAATGCGAAGATTTTAGATATTTATTCTAGTGATCACTCAAAATTATTGATTTATGGTAAAAAAAAGAGTAAATATTAAAATCTCGTCCCCTTTATCTTGGTCCTCCCTCCTAGTGACCATCTCGACTCCCCTCTATGTCTCCTTCATTAGGTCATATATGAAGCCTTAAAGGACATCTCACTTCAGTTGTTTGTAAATTTCACCTGAAACTGGATGTTCTTGCATCATCCCCCACTTGTCCTGCAACTTTTTCACTTCAATTTAAGATTTCGCTCATCTGATACCCAAAAAGTACAATTTCTTTTGGAGACATGTTGTCTGGTTTTGGGTTGTGACAATATGTTGTAAGCATTGCCTTTTTTCTATTTATCGGGTGTATGTTTTATGTTAGTCGCATCTTACATGATGATTTTGGATTTCAACTCACTGAATAATGTGTTGAAGACGATAAGATATCGTTGTTGAATTCATGCTATGCCTTGCATTTTCCATGCTTGATGATGATGAAAATGCACCTGAGATTGATATGGTAGTGGAGGAAAGTGATTGCAATGGAGGAACAGATACGGGAGCTAGATGAGGAAGATGGTGAAAGGGGAAAGAGGGGGACATTGGAGCGATATATGGGTGGTGGGACCTATGAATAATTTTCATGATAATTAATAATAGAAAATAAAAGAAGGGCAAAATAGTCATTTTATAAGTTTTAACCGACGTAAGTTAACGGTGTGAGTGATATGGATCAAAATTGCAAAATGATTTTTTTGTACGTAAACCAAAAAACCAGATAACCAATTGTGTACATTAGTCTACAAAAGTTATTTTTACATATTTGTGTAAATGCGAGTATTTTGAATATTTTTTGTAGGTATCAAATAAGTCATCATTGGAAATTACTTAAAATCCGTTAATTTAATCACTGTCAACTTTAGTTATGTAAATAGATTTAAAGAGGTGTGCCATTTATGAATAATTAATTTAAATTTTTGTTATTGGAAATTCTGAATTATTTTTGTTGTTGAGATATGTGCAGATTAATGTAATATCCAAGGCAGAGATCATTTCAGAGGTGGATGGTAATATTCCTGACGTTGAATCCTCAATTCATCCCAAACCTTTTCACGTTAATCACCTTCAAAGACTTATTGTACATGATTGTATGGTTGTTGAAGTGGTGTTTGAGATAGAGAGTTCCAGTAGCAGCAGCACAGATTTGACAACAACTCTGCATAAATATAATCATCAACCACCACCACTACTACTTCCCCACCTCAAGGAATTATATTTAGTAAATATGTCGAGGATGAGTGATGTGTGGAAGTGCAATTGGAAGAAACTTGTAATTCCTCAAAACCAATCACAATCCTACTCATTCCACAACCTCACAAACATATACATGGAAAAGTGTCATATCATAAAGTACTTATTTTCACCTCTCATGGGCAAACTTCTTCCCAACTTAAAGGAGGTCTGGATAAGGTGGTGTGATGGTATTAAAGAAGTTGTTTCAAATAGAGATATTAATGATGAAAATGAAGAAATAATATCTTCTACTCACACAAACACCTTCTCCTTCCCTCTTCTTGATTCTCTCTACCTTGATTCTCTGCCACGCCTAAAGAGTATCGATGGCGGTACTACGATCACAACTACTTCCATCCATGATCAGTTCAAGGTATCATTTCTCTTAACTAGTGGATCCTTTACACATTCAGTTATTTGTTTTATTTATATATATTTATTTTAATATTTTCTTCTCCATTTGCTGCTTTATATAACTCAATAAGCTAATTCTTCTGAAGCTGGAAAGACAAAATAACTAACTAAATACCTAATTTTTTTTCCAGTTTATTCGTTTGCATAGGTCATTAAAGTTATTTCTCTTAAGCATGGTTATAAATCATATCAAATGCATTTTTTTTATCCAGTTTTAACTAAAACAGATGGCTGATTTAGACCCGATTGTGAGGGAGAGAAAAAAATTGATTGATAAATGTATATAAGTCATATCATAGTTACTCTTGATTGTTTGTTAAGTAATATGAAAACTGGAACAAAAATGATTTTATTCATGTTTTTTTTTTTGTTTGTTTCCTAGCTTGCAATTTTAGCTTAATAAAGTTCAGTTTGTTGTTTAAAAGAAATATCTTTTTTTTTATCTTTCAAAAAAAAATCTTTTTTTTTTTCCGACATGGAACTGAAAAATATTTAAGTACAATATATGGCAAAAGACTCCTGTTTACAACTTTTTTTTAAAAGTATTAAATTTAAGACATTGGTCAATCATCCAGCCAAACAACAAGATTGTCAGTTATGGGAAGTCTCAAGATCTTCATTTATCAAATATAATTTCCCAAGTCTATATTGAAAATGACTCCCTTGAAAAGAATAATTGTTCCAAAAATGCTTTCTATTCTGAATATTAGAATCAAGATAGATTTTGCAATATACAATCTAATGAACAATCATAGATGTATAATAAACGCACCTTTATTTTCACTATAGACACTGATATTGATAAGAGTCGTTAGCTGTTTCTTGGATTTGGCCTTCTCAATGATTCTATATTCACAAATGCAAAAATATAAACTTTTTTGAGAATTCTATATTCACAAATGTTAAAATATAAACCTTTATTTTCACTATAGACACTGATATTGATAAGAGTCGTTAGCTGTTTCTTGGATTTGGCCTTCTCAATAATTCTATATTCACAAATGCAAAAATATAAACTTTTTTGAGAATTCTATATTCACAAATGTTAAAATATAAACTTTTTTCTAAAGATCAAATTATCTAGACCAATATATGTGGGTTTAGATGTAGCACACACACATGATGGAAGACTTGGAATAAATTAATTATTGATAACGGCTGATCAGATGCTAACATTCTCCATATTAAATTTTTCTTCCTTTTGTCATTGTGTTCTAATTAACCCTTCATGTTAGTAAAATTATTTAAAACATGAAGAAGATGATGCATGTAATCAATGCAGGTACGGAAATATAAGCATATTGATTTCAAACTCATTTCCTAATAATAAATAAATTTAGGAGTAAAGTTATGTTTTCATTTTCCCACATTGAGGAGGGAATGGGTTATAGAGTCCAATGCCTTTTATTTTCTATTCATAAACCATATACAGAAAAACAACTATATTTTTAGTCATTTTCTCTGTTCAAAATACTTTCCTTTATTTTCTTATTACATCATCCTACTTTCATTTCTTCCAGTTATAGCATTATACTTTGAAAAAATATACCCAATTATATGTGGCTACAACAGCCTGATAAGAAAAGTCGAAAGTACAATGCTATAGTTGGGTGGATTTTCAAAGTACCTTTATGGTAGTCTTGTGTCATTTATTAAAGTCTAAAATTATAGAAATAGCAATTTACTTTCATTGATTTGCGTATAAGAGCATCTTACTTTCATTTTTTCCTATTAAAGCATTGTACTTTAAGTAACTCACCCATTTTATTGCAATTTCATTCAAATACAAATGATTTCCGTTACTGCAATATAAAGAAATGAAAGTAGGATGCTATAATAAACGAATAAATGGAAATGCGTTGTTATTTCTTTCATTTAGACTTTCTTCAGTTCAGATAAGTAAATTTCATAGCTATAACTCCAGGTGAAATATTTGTTTATTTTATGCTTTATATCATACTTTCATGTGTTTATATCTCATATTTATTGTCTTTTTTTTTTTTAGTTTCAAAGATGAGACTAACCATTATCATGACCACCATGTCCACTTCCGGTGTCATACACTTTGCTTCTGCACGAGAAATATATGTTGATTAATTGCTAATCAAAGTACTTCAAAGTCTCTTCATTTTCAAGTTTTAATTTGAATAAATGCTAATTAGCTGTGTTATTTAGCACGTAGCAGTTTTATTTTTCTTGTGTCAGTTTCCTATTTGTAGGTTGTCATAATCTCTTCTAAGCCTATATAATTAAGGCCACTTTTATGATTGATTTAGTGTGCCTTTTCTTTCATCCACCATCTACTTGTTCTCTCCTGCCAACAATATAAGCATAGCATACAACTGATTAGTTTCTTGTTTTTACTTATTTTGTCTATGTATAACGAGGGTATTTTGGTCATTTGACAAACTTTTTTCCTCAAGGAGTCCAAACACCACGATTTGGTTTCTCTTTATTCCTAGACCTTTTATCCATTTTTTCTGTATATTGCCCTTTTGGATTTCAACTTCCATTGTCCACATTGTTACTTAATTACCTTAGTTGTGTGAAGCACTCACGTTTTTTTTTTTTTTTTTTGGAAGAGACCGAAGTCTCGGCAAACTAAAGGGAAGCACTCATGTTTGTAACCACACTTTTAGAAACAAATGATATGTTAAATTGTAGTGTGTATGTGTGTGGCAAACAACTAAGCTTTGTTAATTTAAATAGATCCATTTTTTCATGTGTTGTTGTAGTGTTCTCAAGTCGGTGTTGCTTCGTGGTTCTTATGCCAATACTCCAAAAAGATTGAGATATATAATTGTCCTGCCCTATCAAGAGTGTTTCCATCCAATGTAGTGGGACAACTGAATAAGCTTGAAGAGTTGAGAATAAAAGAATGTAAGTCAATGGTGGAGATATTTGAAAGTAAAGAAATAAACAAAGATGGTGTTGATAGTACTACGAATGTTGGTGATGGAAGTGATGATACTTGTACTGCAATCACCATCCCAAGGTCGGCCAATATGACACTGCTTCAATTGCCCAACCTAACAATATTGGTCATCAGTAAATGTGAAGTTTTGGAATATATATTCACAAGTTCCACACTTGAAAGCCTCAAGCAACTCAAAGAATTGACTGTAGCAGAATGCAAGGCAGTGAAAGTGATTGTGAAGGAAGACACAGAGCACACAGAAAAATCTAAATCTATTATAGTCTTCCCACGTCTCAAGTCCCTTACACTTGTAGATTTACCAGATCTCAAGGGTTTCTTCTTGGGGACGAATGAGTTCAGGTGGAAAGCATTGGAAAAGGTTAAGATTTATGGCTGCCCACAAATGATGAATTTCACATCTGGTCACTCCAAGGCTCCGAAGCTCAACTACATACATACAGGATTAGGCAAGCATAGTCTTGATCAATATGGCCTCAACTTCCATTTGACCAATGCTACACATGAGGTATGTCGTTTTATGATGTTCAACATATTATTTGCTTACAAAAATTAGTTGGTTCATATTTGTATTCCAGAAGGAAACATAAAACAAAACCAAATGAAAATACATATATAACCACTTCCCTTTTTTATATCCATAAAAAGTTATGAAAATATGCAATCTTATTTTTTATTATAAATTAATATTTCATTCCTAAGATATTAAGTTATCCCTTATGTTATGAAAGATGTTATATTCACTAATTCATAAGTTAGCAATTTAATATTTAAATCAAGTTAGATGAACTAAAGACAAAGGCCCAATTGACGCATTCATTGTGGGTGGTTTTTTCATGTCCAACATTTCTGAACATATACAATACTAGTTTTGATCGGAATCAGATCAACAATCCCTTCTTCTTTACATTGTCCCTATTTTCACCGGCTTGCAACCCCAAGAGCATCACAGAGAAAGAAGGTAAAGAAAGGAGGAGTTGGGTGGGGGTTAGGGGTTTATTTTCTTTTTTGCATTTTTTAATGTTTAATTAATATTAAAGAAAACTTAAAAAAAGAAATTAAAACAGTAAATAAGTCTTTTCAATTTTGATACAAACCTGGTGAGAAGGACCAACTTTGTAATTTTGGAACCACAGGGACCGTAACCGCAAAAATCGACAAACGCATGGACCAAATTTGCAGTTTTTGCTAAAAAAAAAAACAAACAAATCTAACTAGTGGCTTGAAGGTTTGGAGTCTGGGCAAGTATTCGACTAAAGGCATAACAAAATAAGCACCTAAGAAAAAGGGCTTCTAAAATTCACATAATAGTTTCTTTCCTTGAAAACAGAAGATTTAAGAATTTATATCAAATATATGAATATAAAAAATTATTTTCTTGTGTATTACAAATGATACTTGGCAAGTTCATTCTTATTCAAATCATTTGAAAGTTTATAAATCATTAATTAGGAACTTAGAACCAACAACTTCATTCAGTTAAGAAAAAAACACAAAATAGATGGAAATAAAAGCATTAGCTTATTTTACATATTTTCACTCATATCTATTAACAAATAGATTTTTGTATGGAGCTATATTTTGTAATTGAATCATTTATATCGTTTTCATCCAGTTTAATCCAATTATCTAACATATTTTATAATAATGTGATGTTAGTAGTTAATCAAGTTGTTCTTTTCTCTCTCATCTTCTACAAGCTTGATATTTATGTAGCGTTTATTACCTAAATTTGACAAAAATAGTATTGCTGAGATGATTGTAAAAGTATAAGTATATCATCCATATATCATTTGTTGTATTTGACAATGCAATAAAAATACAATAACATAGTTATCTTTTTTCCTAAAAAAGTTGGATGTAAACATTCAGTACATGAAAAACTACCTATTTGAAGTAGCCAAAACACTTAACTTTTACAGTTTTACTTTTTATTTTATCTGCCCACCCCCACCCACAAACACAAATATTTAATTTTTTTACTTTTATTTAAAAAGACTCAATCATTGATAAAATCTAAATTGTTTAAACAAATCGACATTCATCAATAAAATCTAAATTGTTTAAACAAATGCAATGTATAAATCAGAATTTTTCTTCACAGTGCTCATCTTCTCAGAAATAATGTAAGCAGTGCCATAAACTAGGTTGTTGATTGGAAATACATGTTGCCTCGTTTAAAAATAATAGAACTTGCAATCCTTTACT